AGGCCGCGGAGCGCGAGAAGGCCGCCGAGGCCGCGAAGCTCGGGTCCGGCCGCGCGTCGACCTACAATGTCTAGGGAGCCAGACGACTAAGCAAGATCAAGCCGACGCGTGGAACTTCAGTAGTAGTTTAAGCCCCGCAGGCGGTGGGCGGGCGAGAGCAGGCACGCCAAAAGGGATCCGAGCGTGCGCGCGTCGCGGATGGTGTCAGAACCATCAATACGATAGCCGACGCTGGCGTCCATGAGCTCGTATGAAGGTTCGTTTGGGTCGTGGCGCCAAGGTTCGACGGGCGCAAACTGAAGACGGCAAACGAGGCTGATCCGATCGACGCGCTCCTTCTTTCTTCCGGGAGCCCGGACGTAAGCGTCGAAGTAATGGGGATGTGTTCCAAACTCTTCGAACCGGCGTTGAGAGATGAAATCTCCGCCAAAGCCGAAGATAGACACACGACCGTTATCTTCTGTGATGGAATTGCCGAATTCGTCTTCGTACACATCCTCGAAATGACACGAACCGTCCCGCCAGAGCTCGACAATCTTCTCGTCACCGACGACGTAGCAGGAGGTCTTCGCAGTGGCCAGCTCTTCTTCGTAATAGGGTCCTCGCGGCTCTTTTAAGACCCACATCAGCTGGCGTCCCTTTTGGCGCTCGCCGTAGGCATCCTCGCCGCCCCACTTGAGCTTGCCGGCGACGCCGTCGACGACGAGAATGACGGTTGGATGACGGACGAGCGAGGGCAAGCCGTGCCAACAATTGACGCCAAGGAGAGCCTTGGGAAGGTTTTCCTCTACTAATCTTCCAACCGAGCCTTCGTCAAAATGAGTAGCCCGCCACCGCGATTCGAACAGCCGGCAGAGGTCACGGCCGGTGCCTTTTAGAACTGCGGACAGCGCGGGCGCGGCCATGTCGAAGCGCCGGCGCCAGATCGAGTCCGTGAAGTCCGCGCGCACGAGCTTTAGGAGATCCATCCCCGTGGTCTCGAGCGTCAGCAGCGTGTCGGTGGCGCAGAAGGTGGCGACGCCAAGCCAGACATCGGTGGGCAGGCGCGGCGCTCGCGTCGCGCACTCAATGAGGCCTTCGCGGTCGTTCGCCTCAACGCCCTCGACGCGCGCGCACTCATTTACGCCGGGCTCATCCACGCACGGTGTGCCCTCGTGCGAGCACCGAGCCATATCGAGAACGATCTGCCGTGTCTGCCGGCTTCACTTTAGCGGCAAGGACGGCCTGCGCTGCGGCCGCCTTGAGTCTTACTTTGAGTCTTAATCACGCCGCCGCGCAGAGCCGCGGCGCCACCAAGCTCCGGTCCCGGGCCTTGTAGCGCGCGTCGTCGCGGCGCTTGAAGCAGGAGTACGTGCAGCCGCCGCCGAAGCACGCGCCGCCGTCGCGGCGGTCGTCCGCGGGCCCGTAGACGCAGGGCCGGCGCTTCGCGTAGGAGTGGTAGGCGACGTAGTCGTAGCCCGCCTTGAAGTCGATCGCGCGGATGTCGGCGTCGTCGCGCGCGCCGCGCTGCGCGCCCGCGGGCCAGCCGTCCGCGGCCTCGCACTCGACGATCGTCTTCGGGCCCGGCCCGTTGGCCCAGTAGAGCTGGCGGACGGCGACGCTCGCCGGGAAGGCGCGCCGGGCGTAGTGGAAGTAGAACTGGTACTCGGAGAAGGCGTTGCGGTGCGCCTCGGCGACGACGCCGACGGCCGGCCGGAGCAGCGCGTCGTACAGGGGCGCGCCGTGCAGCGCCGAGACGCGCGCGTCGAGCGCCGCGAGGACGTCGGCGCGCATGGCCATGTGGTGGACGACCCCCGAGATGTCGCGGCCGGCGGCGTCGGGCAGGGGCTTGCCGTCGTCGTCGCCCAGGAGCTTTTTGTTCGTGTCGTAGTAGAGGCCGTGCGACTCCCGCGAGAACGCGTACGCGTACGTCGCGTCGCAGCGCCCGGCGCTGTTCGCCGTGCCGTGGACGAAGGCGACGTCCCGCAGGAGCACGACGTCGCTGTCGACGATCAGCGTGTCGCGGTCGGGCGCGCGCGCGACGTCCTCCGCGGTCCAGTTGCCCGGCCCGCCGCCGGCGTCGGCGCGCGCGATGCCCCGGCCGCAGTAGAGCTTCAGCAGCTGCTGGAGGTACCAGCCCACGGCGTACTGGTAGCTCCCGGCGTGGTGCGCGCCCGAGCGCGTCTCGAGGTGGCGCTTGATGGACGCGTAGTCGAAGGGGAAGTGGCCGCCGTCCTCGTCGAACCACTTGACGAAGTTCTCCGGCCGGCCCCGGTGGCGCCGCGCGTTCACGGCGGCGATAACCCGGTCGACCTCCGGCGACTTGCGCGACACGACGTGGATCGACTCGATGTCGACGGCGTGCTCCGCGAGGGACGCGAGGCTCGACGCGAAGACCTTCATGTCCTTGGACGGCGCCGTGGGCACGCAGGCCGCGAGCCGCGCCGGGCAGGCGCAGCCGCCGAGGCACGTCGCGTTCGTCGGCGTGTGCACGTCCCAGGACGGGTCGTCGAGCGCGATTGCGCGCGCGAGCAGCATCACAAAGGCTGCCCTCATCGCGCACAAAAGGTGGCTGCCCCGTCGGCTTATTGAACTGTCCGAGCTGCACGTGCAACGATGCTTGCCTTTTCCGATGCTATGGCTCGG